GAGGAAGATCGAAACTTGGCTTCATCAATGGAAATATTCCTGCACTCGCTGTTGATGATCCAAAGTATGAGGATTGGTTCTGCAAGGATCAACTTGTCATGTCTTGGTTGCTCAACTCTATGGAGCCTCAGGTTGCTGAGATTTTCAGTTTTTCTGATTCTGCACAACATCTTTGGACTGCTGTCAAAGAAATGTATGGAAATCAAAATAATGCAGCCAGGATTTTTCAACTAAAGAAGGATATTGCTGGGGTGTATCAAGATGGAAAATCTTTTATTGAACATCTGGGAAAGCTTAAACACATGTGGAATGAGCTAGATCCTTACAGATCTCATACTATTGATTCAGCCACTCTTCTGAAAAAAGCTAAAGAGGATAAAATTTTCCAACTCTTGTCCAGTTTGGATCCAACTCTTGGCAAGTTTGGATCCAAATTATGAAGACTTACGCAGTCACATTTTGATGAGTGCTGAAATGCCTTCTTTCAATACTGTTTGTACTACTATTCAACGAGAAGAGGTAAGGAAGAAAGTCATGAACGTAGAAACCAAATCAGGCGCTGGAAGTTCTGAATCTAAAGCTTTTGTAGCTGGTGCTAAAAAACAAGCAAGCAAAAATTTCAAAGGAAAAAAAGGCAATCTGGAGTGTAGTTATTGCGAACAAAAAGGTCACACCAAGGATAGGTGTTGGATTCTCCACCCTCATTTGAAACCAAAATTTGGAAAGGAAGGCAAGGGAGAACAAAAACACAGTGCCAATCAAGTTTCTGCTGCTGATGATTTTGAAAAATTCACCACCAACCCTTCAGCTTTTCTTGGTGAGTTTGCTGCGTATCTCCACCAAAAAAATGAGAATCCCAATTGTAAAATTGATGCAAGTCTCTCCAATAATGCTGGAGCAAATCTTGCCTCGAACTCTACTACTCTTCTTGGCCAGTTTGCTAATTTTCTTCAACAATATGGAAAAACATCTACTTCTGATGTCTCAGGTATTGTCAAAGCCTTTGTGACTGCTCTTATTTCCAGCAACTGTAAGAAGACGAAGAGTTTCCAGCAGCAGTTAATTATTTTACACATTCCAATACACTTCAATGTCTTGTCCCCATGTGAGTGGCTTAGCCTCTCTTCTCAAGTCAGTGCATAGAGATTGGTCACCTGCCGCAATCAAATCTGCACTAATGACCACAGCTTACACACTAAACAACAAAGGGGCCGCAGTTGCTGATATTGCCTCAACTAGTACTTCAAAATCAGCTACCCCTTTTGCCTTTGGTTCAGGGCATGTTGATCCAGAAAATGCTTCTGATCCAGGCCTAGTTTATGACATTACCGCTGAAGACTACCTGTTTTATTTGTGTAGCTTGAGTTATAACTCTTCCCAAATAGCTCTTTTCTCCAGTGGGGTTAATTTTACTTGTCCAAAAAATGCAGTTCTTCAGCCTGGTGACTTGAATTACCCTTCATTCTCTGTGCTTTTCAGCAAAGACGCAAGGAATATGAGTGTTACATACAAGAGGACAGTGAAAAATGTTGGTAAAATTCCTAGTACTTATGCAGTGCAGGTGAAAGAACCTACTGGAGTATCAGTGACTGTTGAGCCTAGAAGCTTGACGTTTAAGAAGATGGGTGAAAAACTGAGCTACAAAGTGAGTTTTGTTTCATTGGGAGGACCAACTTTGATCAATTCATCCTTTGGAACCCTAACTTGGGTGTCAGGGAAATATAGAGTTGGAAGTCCCATAGTAGTAACTTGGCTGTAATAAGTTTTTATTTTTTTGGTCAAAGCTATAATAAGTTTTGGGGCTAAATCACTATCCAACCTCAAGTTTAGGACTAAATGATGGAGAGCACAGAAGTTTGTAATTTTAACTGCTATAAAATATTACCAGGGATTGCCAGTTAAGCTGGATATTATGCTAGGGAGTATGTAATTTCACCTGCCATAAAATATGATGGAGAAAAGTCTATGGGAAGCACTACTAATTTATGAGATTAACCAAAAAATTTCAATAAGAATTTTCAAATCTACTTGGGTGTTAGAAGAAGCCACCCCAGGCCATTGCTGCACCAGTTTTACCTGGCATCAGGTTCATGCAAGTTTATCATTAAATATTTGTTTTGTTAAACCATAAAACGTATTAAACTAAATTTGTTATCGCATTCCTTATCACATTTTCAACATAATAACTTTAAGACCCACCTACGATATGGCAATGACATGATTCGTGAATGTGATACATGTAGCATTACTCTATAATAAGAGTCTCCCTTGCCTCTTTGTGATCACGTTGTTGTGGCAATTGATCATTGGACTTGAAAGAACAATGAGAATGAGAATGAGACCAGCCACTAAACCGTTTCCTTAAAAGTTACACAAAATTCGGGTGTAAGGGAACGAGCACACTGCCTATCAACTGGTCTAACCCACATGTGCAACTTTCCCTATATGATTGAATACACAAAAAAATCTTAAACATTGTAAGACAAGTTTAGTGATAATAAGACACTTTTACATAAGATCACTAATAATACACAACACAAGATTTACTTTTCTAATTTACAAACAGATTTATCTTGATTATCGATACTATTTTGATCATGTCTATCACAACTGAATTTTAGTCGAATGCAAAGTCTTAAATTTCATACATTGCAACTCATGTGCGACCTAAACTTAGTTGACAAAACCCCCCAACAACCCCCACCTAGCAGCATTTTCCACAACAAAACCTTACCTGCTCCTCTGTTTGTCCAATTATGTGTCTTTGCTGAGGCCGATCATATGCTTGATTTTGAAAAGAAAAACACATTCTGAAATAAAAGAAAATCAAGGAAGTTGGATGAAAACATATATGATGCACCACCATGCACTTACATGCATAATCTCATGGCATGACATATGATATGCCCAATTACTTGGAAGAGTTGAGCACTCCAAAGATCTCTGTTGCCAAAATGACTCCAATTGGGCATGTTGAAATAGTATTTCTTCACATCTTAAATTGCCAAACCTTGTTTATAAAATAAATAAAAAACACACAAAACAATGAAATTTCAAAATCAATATCACCATCTAAACTTTCAATTAATTAATTAAGAAGCACTCTCCAACTGGAATGCCAATTACCTACTTTTAGAGTACAATATCAACTCGTATTCACTTATATTATAACACTTGGATGAGTTATAATATACAATATTATTATACTATAATTATTCGATAATTAAATTAGATTGTATTTGCATTCAATGTGAATTCCAAATCTGGAGGAGATTCACTTCAACTGGTTCCAACATTTCTGTCAAATATAACTCATTAAATACACAATCCCTTAGATTGTGTCCAAATTTAAATCTTTTCACGTTTTATTATTTTTGCTTTTAAAAGCATTTCTTTCCCTTTTCTTAGGGTAAGTAAGTAAGTAACGCGTTATTTTCAATTTTCATTTAATTTCGTACTTCTCGAAGTTCTTAAGACACACGTCAACAAGAAACGTCCATTTGTTGGCCATTTCTACTGTTTTGTCTTATTTATGTTTCATCCGAAAAATAAAATAAAAAACGAAAGTTTGAGTAAAAAATTAGCATGATGCTGAGGTGGCCGTGGGTCCCAGTCTTCGGCCAGTCAGAATGCTCCACGTGGACGGAAACGGGCTGAAACTGGAAATTTGGGCACTGCACACGTTGTCAAACACGAAGGAAGAATGATGAAGATGTTGATCTAAAATTCCAGCTTCTTTTCCTTCCTTAATTTCTTCTTCTTCTTATTCTGCATTTCTTTGAAGGTTCCAATACATTCTTTCAATCTTCCTGTATATCAACCCCAATAAGGTAAACTTCTATTTGGGTTTTCTCTTTCTGGAATACTACAGCTCTCTACTTTTTGGGATCTTCTAATTGTTATTATAAAATATATAATTCTATTGAGCTTCTTCTCTTGTTGCATATAATATATATTCTCTCACTAGGAATCAAAAACCCTTTTGATCTCTTGGTGTATCCTGTTCACCTTCTGTAAAAGATTCATTTTTTTAAGTCCCAATTGTAAACCCTTCATACTATTAACCCTTAGATTTCAAGTTCAAAGCAGATATATGTATTATAGAAATTTCCTTGAAAACCCATTAGATATCAAGTTCATGCCTTTTTGATATTTGATAACAAGTTTTTGTTCATTTTCTGCCACTAAGAAGCTAAGAATCTGAATTGTGCAATGGATAATAATGGTTCTTCACAATACCCATACCCATACCCATACCAGAATTCTTACCCTTACCCTCATCAGCCTCCTGCTCAATACCCTCCACCTCCAGATCAATATCAACCTGCTCCATATCCATACCCACTATACAATCCTTCATATCCTTACCCTTATGCATATTCTCCATCACCTTCTTCATCCTCCCCCCATTCAGGGCCTTTGGACTATAACCAGCCTCCCTATCCATATCCATACCCCCCGGCTCGTCCAATTTCCCATAGTGGTCCTCTGCCATCCATTCAGCAGCATAGCAGTTTCAAGTATGGTGCTTCCCATTACCACTACCAACAGTCTGAGGCTTACCCGCCACCTGAAAGCCCGCATCAAGACCCTCTGCGTCCCAGTAGGTTCTCGAATCATCAACGGCACGATAGCTGTCCAGTAGGAATTGGGGGGCCTTCATTTCATGATAATGGTGCAGAACTCGTGCCTCCTCACTCTTCTGCTTACCCGCCCTTGGATCAGCTTTTGAGTAATGTGCATTTGTCTGACAATCAATCTTTGGATCCCTCTGCACCCCCATCACCTTTAGTGCAAGAATTGGCAACTTCAACTCCCAGTAGTGCAAGGTATGATACTCAGGGGGAGTTGTATGCGTATCCTAATAGCTCATTTTCCAGTAGTTGGGAGATGTCTTATTCAGGTCAGATTGAATCACCGAGTCATTCTGCTTATACCCATTCAAGTTCGTTTAATGGGTCACAACATAGCCAGAGTTTGCAGATTATTCCATTGCAGCATAAAGGTTCCTTGAAGGTCTTGCTTTTACATGGGAATTTAGACATTTGGGTATATGAAGCGAGAAACCTTCCGAATATGGACATGTTCCACAAGACTTTGGGAGATATGTTTTTGAGGTTACCAGGGAGTGGAAGCAGCAAAACCAATGGGCAGTCAAGCCGTAAGATTACTAGTGATCCATACGTGTCAATTTCAGTTTCAAATGCTGTAATTGGGAGGACATATGTGATTAGCAATTCTGAATTTCCTGTTTGGACACAACATTTCAATGCTCCAGTAGCACATCATGCTCCTGAAGTGCACTTTGTTGTTAAAGATAGTGATCTTGTGGGGTCTCAGCTTATTGGAGTTGTGGCAATTCCAGTCGAACAGATTTACATGGGAGCAAGAGTTGAGGGAGTTTATCCGATCTTGAATACTAGTGGGAAGCAATGTAAAGATGGAGCTGTCCTAAGACTTTCAATTCAGTACACTCCAATTGAGAAATTGAGCGTTTACCATAATGGAGTGGGGGCAGGCCCTAATTATTTTGGGGTTCCTGGCACATATTTTCCTCTTAGGACAGGTGGAAAAGTAACTCTTTATCAAGATGCCCATGTCCCAGATGGGTGCCTTCCGAACTTGATATTAGATGGGGGGATGCCATATGTGCATGGGAGGTGTTGGCATGACATTTTCGATGCAATACGTCAGGCCCGGCGTTTAATTTACATTGCTGGGTGGTCAGTTTGGCACAATGTTAGATTAGTTCGGGATGCTAGTGGTGCATCAAATTGCACCATAGGGGATCTTCTGAGGTCCAAGTCCCAGGAGGGAGTGAGAGTGCTGTTACTTGTTTGGGATGACCCTACTTCAAGAAGCATTTTGGGTTATAAAACAGTAAGTATTCTTCGACTTTTCGTATTTTGGAATGGTATTTTATCAAGGGATTGTGGTTCTAAAGGTTCAGTCGTTTTGTTTTCTTTATCTTTGTAATATATAACTCATCTTGTGAAATTCTTGGATGCAAGTCCATTAACTTAGTTTACGTCACATCACAAGAGGCGTAATTGCAAATGACTATTGAATCACAAGATAAATGAATGCCAGAATTTGGCTATCATGATACATTGGTTTAGATTAGGGCAACTGACTTTGTTGATAGAGTCAATGATATAATCCTTTTGTTGAATTGTTTTACACATTATTTTCCCTTTTAAATTCTAACTGGAAACCTTTGTTGTATGTATTTTCCAATTGAACATAACAATTTTTTTGTTGCAGGATGGAATCATGCAAACCCATGATGAAGAAATTCGGCGATTTTTCAAGCACTCTTCAGTGCAAGTGTTACTTTGTCCCCGCACTGCAGGCAAACGACATAGCTGGGTCAAGCAAAGGGTTAGGCATAATCAAGCATTTTCTGGATATTGCTATGTTGCCATTTTTCATTACTTAATATTGTGCATCTAATTCTGTTTGTATTTTTGTGGTCCTGTTATTTTCTGAACTTGATGTAATTTTTAAGGTAGTTGATGTTCTAGATCTCCATAGGCTTTACAGTTTTACTAAGTTTTGGAAATTTCATAAGCATTCACAGCTTATTGCAGTTTTGAGAAACATCAGTATTTATCTAAAGCCTTGGTCTATTAGTTGCAAACTAAACAGTTTAATGCTTAACTTCACAATTGTTTTTCAAAAAAATGAAGTCACAGGAAATATTGCACCAGATAATTCTTCTACACTTTCATTACAGAGGACAAAAAATTGAAATACAGGTCATGAAGACAATAATTTTTCTAAAAGTATTGCACAAGAGAATCTTATAATTTAACAATGCAAGTGAAACAACAGATCAATTGGGATTGTCTAAACACTTTTATTTTGTATTAGCCATTGTATAACTGTTTTGCTGACCTCAATTAGCTTGGATTGAGGGTTAGCTGATATAACCACTTTTCATGTATTTGTCTTCATGTTATACTATTAAATTCTTGTAATTTTTGTCTTTGTTGTGTAATGTTTTGCATTGAATTGCTTCTATATTTTCCAGGAAGTTGGGACGATCTATACACACCATCAGAAAACTGTAATAGTGGACACTGATGCTGGTAATAGTAGGAGGAAAATCGTAGCGTTTGTTGGAGGACTTGACTTATGTGATGGTCGGTATGATACTCCACATCACCCTCTATTTAGGACGTTACAAACAGTGCATAAAGATGACTATCACAACCCAACATACACGGTAATTATGAGACCTCTTTGTAATTGCATAGCTGTATAGTTAAGTTGTAACCTACTTTTCATTTATTGAAACTCCTTGCCAAAAAGAAAAAAAAGTAGCTTATAGCTCAAATTTGAACCTTATGTGTCCACTATAGTTGACTCATTGGTGGAGGCAGAAATTTAGTTTATAGGGGTCACTCCCAGATAATATAATTTTTTTTTTAAACTTTACCACATAAAATCTTCAATACTTCAAATTTGTATTTACAAAACAATTGTTCTCAACAAGATTTGCATGATAACTTCACAATCAATGTCATCAAATTAAGTTTTTTTCCCCAGTTTACACAGTCTAGTTATCACTCATCAATTTACGAGTTGTTCTCTGCTATTTATCTATATGGTTTTATCTCTTCAAAGGGTAGCACTGTTGGTTGTCCAAGAGAGCCATGGCATGACTTGCACTCTAGACTTGATGGGCCAGCAGCATATGATGTTTTGACAAACTTTGAAGAGCGCTGGCTAAAGGCTTCAAAACCACATGGGATGAAAAAATTGAAAAAAGGTGGATATGGTGATGCTCTGCTCAAGCTAGAAAGGGTTCCAGAAATCATTGGAGCGTCCCATGCTGCTTCCACTAGTGACAACGATCCTGAAACTTGGCATGTTCAGGTAATATGGTTGTAACTGATTATTGAGGTTTCCCCTGAAACTTGTCTCAACAGGTAAAGGGGTGGGACTGAGTAGATCCTGTATTCGAATTTTCCAAGGCAAAAGAAAAATAGTAACAATTGAAATTAGTTTGCATATATTTGTGCACTTATAAATGAAAATGTTCTCTCTCTGGTGTTTCACCATGCAGATTTTTCGTTCAATTGACTCAAATTCTGTTAAAGGTTTCCCAAAGGATCCAAAAGAAGCAACAAGCAAGGTGAAGGGACATTTACTGACAGTTTTCTCTTTTCTGTGATCTTTTGGAGGTTGACATTTGGACTGATGATTAATGCTCTAATTGTAACAGAACTTGGTGTGCGGAAAAAATGTGCTGATTGACATGAGCATACATTCAGCCTACGTGAAGGCCATCCGTGCTGCCCAGCATTTCATTTATATAGAGAATCAGTACTTCATTGGGTCCTCATACAATTGGAGTTCGAATAAAGACTTAGGTGAGGAACATTTTCATATGTAGAGATATGGATATATATAAATGGGTAAAATGTGCTGCTTTTTAGGATTGCATTTTTTAGTCACCTTTTCAGTCAACACCAAATTACAGATGTATAGAGTTTAATATGGAAGCACTCACACTGTCTCAAAAAGTTAGGTCCACTAAAAGAAAAGCTTCATGAACTCAACCCCCATATAAGAGCTACAATATTACTTTAAGTAGTCACCTCTTTAAATTAGTACATGGAGCAACATTTAGAATTGGAATCTCAGAACATTCGGTCCATGAAAACAAAGCATCTAGGGCTTGAATTGGACCTATATATAAGAGCTAAATTTTACGTAAATAGCCACTGTTGTAAATAATTAAATGGAATGACCGCTAACATTGGAATTTTGTTGGACTCATTTGATGGAGTATCAAAATGCACACTCTTTGCCTGCCATGTCCCCAAATCTCTGCCATCTATTGTGGCAAGTTTTTTTTGTTTTTGTTTGGGTATCGATAATGGTAAAGTGGGGGTGGGGGGTTTCACCAAGTATAAATTTTGCCACCTGGCCACCAAAGAACTAAAATACCTTCTATTGTCAGTGTTAACTTTATATATGGAATCCAGAATCATGGTCAGACTTGGTCTTAGTAACTTTTTAAATTTTTATGCAGGTGCTAATAATTTGATTCCTATGGAAATTGCCCTTAAGATTGCTAGTAAGATCCGAGCAAATGAGAGATTTGCTGCATATATCGTCATTCCAATGTGGCCAGAGGGTGTTCCAACGGGTGCAGCAACACAAAGAATTCTTTTTTGGCAGGTAAGCTTTAATTATTAACTTGGTAATTGAACCCTTTGTTTAGTCAAGAATTCAAAAAATTTAATGCTTATTCCAGAATTTCCGTAATTAGAAACATGTGATTCAGTATATATGTAGATTTTAACATACAAATTGGATACTTAATATGAAAAAATCTCTGTTATATGTGAAATCTGAAAGAACTGAGGTGTGATACTCCCCTACCGATGAGGGAAAGGGCATCAGCCTCTTGAGCAATGGTAGGTAAATGATTCCCTGCCACATTGAAAAGGATTGCCAATTGGTAGATGTGTGATTTCTCTTCTAGCAAGGACATTAGGGGTTAAAGTGGGGAAATTTGTGATACCCTTGAATTCTACATTGTGGAGATAGTTAAGTAAGACCCGGGAATCTAAATGTCAACTGAGCTAGACCTTTTAGAGGAGGCTTTGGTTTGTCACATTGGTTTTCGCTTATATTGTGGTTTAAAACTGTTGTTAAAAGGGGAGGAAGAGAAAGGAAGGTGGATTGTAAGATAAAAATGGTCCTGGAATAATTAAATTCAAGAGATATTTAGTCATATACCCATTCTTAGCACTAAAACTATAAATAAACCCTACACCATTTAATTTCTATAAACAAACCCAAAAAATGATAGCTGACCCTTTGAATTTAGTTTTGATTATTAAATTACTTTGATGCCCTATTGAGTGTTTTGGGGTTGGGTTTCTTTTCAGAAATCAATGGCAGTTTTGTAATTTAAAAGAAGTTAAAAGCCTTTTGTTATGTTGTAAATGAGTTTTGGGTGTGTTTCTAAAGTCCATTTCATATAGGGTTTTTTTATAATTTGGGCTCCTATATTGGGTATAATAGCGAATCTCCCTAAATTCAATGCTGGATGATTTCATCATCTACTAATAAAATCTAGACTCTGTATTGGCTGAGTTCTAAATGGTGTTTTTCTGTGATTTTTTATTGATTGTTTCAGCACAAGACAATGCAAATGATGTATGAGACGATTTACAAGGCTTTAGTGGAAGTTGGGCTGGAAGGTGCATTCTCCCCCCAGGACTATTTAAACTTCTTCTGTCTTGGCAATCGTGAGGCTATAGATGGAAATGACACATCAGTCTCTGGAAGTCCTACTGCAGCAAACACTCCTCAGGTATATGTCTTTTATCTTTTAAAAAAATGCGCCATTTAGAGAGAGAGAGAGTTGAAATATTTCTAATGTTTTGTTGTTGAAATTACCATTTGTCCTTGTATCTGTTTGTACCACAAATTTACCTATATATCTGCTGTATCTCATGTTTCCAGGCACTTAGTCAAAAGAGCAGGCGATTTATGATTTATGTTCATTCAAAAGGCATGATTGTTGATGACGAATATGTAATAGTGGGGTCTGCAAACATCAACCAGCGCTCTATGGAAGGAACAAGAGACACTGAAATTGCAATGGGGTCATATCAACCTCATCATACCTGGGCAAGAAAACATTCTAGCCCTCATGGACAGGTAACCATATAATTAGTATTGTTAGTTTTTGAGTTGTTATTATATATATAAAAGGACGTCCTAATGATTGTATGTTTTCCACTTGGAACTTTATTTAATTGAAGCATGAATAATGGTGAAGAATATTCTAAAATCATAAGTACCATAGGATTGAGGACTAGGTGCCAGAATGAAGCCTTCTCGATTGTTTTCCTCAGCATTTCGAGGCATTAATAAAATCGTTAGAGTGGAATAGATCACTAAGTGAACAATATTGCCAGAAGGATAACGGCAACTTTAAATTTGATTCCTGGAAGGAATCATCACTTTTTATTGATGTCATTGTTGCCAAAAGCATTTAATATGCGATACAAATTATAAAATGTCATGAAAGAATATATGTTGTTTAATCCAATGCTTAACCATTTAGTTGTTTTCGGCAGTTTCAAATTAACTTAATATATGATATCTAACTTCATGTTGGGATTGTTTGCTTCATAGATATATGGATACAGAATGTCGCTATGGGCAGAACACACCGGAACCATTGAGGACTGCTTCACACAACCGGAGAGTCTTGAATGTGTAAGGAGAATTAAATCAATGGGTGAGATGAATTGGAAACAATTTGCTGCTGAAGAGGTAACGGAGATTATGGGTCATCTATTGAAGTATCCAGTTGATGTTGATCGAAAAGGTAAAGTGACCTCCCTTCCTGGAAGTGAGAATTTCCCTGACGTGGGAGGAAATATAACTGGTTCGTTCCTTGCAATTCAAGAAAACCTAACCATTTGATCTGCAAATCAAATCCAGTTTGTGGGTTTTGGGAGAACAATTCATTTACAGACGGCACAATTTTGGTGTTTTTTTTTTTACTTTTTCAACCCACTGTACAAGTTTGGCCCTTACAGATAGTATATTGTTAGACACCTGCCTTGTAGATTATTATAGTTCGGGTTGTGCATCTTTTGATGTTTGTTTTTGGTTGAAGTACTTTTCTTGTATAAAACATGAAAGGAAATAATGAAAATCTTATTACAATATTGGGGAAAAAAAAATAGAACTTGATACTTAAAGAGGTCTGTTGTGCCCACAAAACTTGTTCAATTCAATACATCCACACGTTGAAGTTCTTAAAGATGTGCTGAACTTGTTCACCGCCAAAGAAAAAAAACTATGTGCCTCAATTTTCTGTCATGCACATTCCATACCTATGAAATTTTGTTTGCCAACCAGAACAGAATACAAAGAACCACAAGAGACACCTGAGCTTGGAAAAAAAATGTAATATAAGAAAACCATCAAGCATTTGAAATACACGACATCAGGGTCAGTAATTGGCTTCAGATTAACTACATTCTTCATCCATCACGAGACATTAACAAGCTTTGGCCGTCCAGTTTTTGGATTCACCTCGACTCGGAGACCAAGTCCAGCAATTTCTGGCGCATCAACAGACCCTTGAAGCTCCAATTCAGTCACTAACCGTTTGTTGTCTTCATTCCCTTCCAATAAATTTCTGACACACCAAATTCCCCACTCCTTTAAGAACGGGTTGTCTTCATCAAGACCACACTGTTGCAAGAGCAGAAGAATCCCATCCTTTTGCCTAATCTCATCTTGGACAGGCTTCCTTTGATATGAGCAATTGCCAATCACTGCAACTATATCTCTCCGAAATCCTTTGTATGGACATGGTTTTGACGAACCCGAATTTGTTCCATCTTGGTCCTCACCTTGTTTGATAGCTTTCCTAATTATTGCTGGCGGCTCAAGATCACGAAGTAAACATAAAATTAGTTCTATAAGACCATGGGATAGCAAAACATCAACAGCATCCCCCAGGTCCTCTTGAAAGCCTCTTAAAGTCTTCTGGGCACATACATCTCTCAGAATTGTGAGTGAGTATCCTAGAACGTCTATCATACTAGAGCCTGTTGGAAGTCCAGACTGGCCCCTTGTGACACAATTAAGAACCCCAACGGATTTCTTGAATATCCCAAAAACACACAAAGCAAAATCACTAGAGACAGTAATCTCTCTAAGTCGCTCATTTAAGATGTCTGATATGATTCTCAATAAAAATGCTTGCTCTGATGAGAAAAGGTCTTCTCTAAATTCAGTATCTTCAACATTCTCAGTAGTACTAACAAAGCCTAAATTAGAGAACAGTGACGCAAAGTAAGGTCCTTCTAAGCAGATTCTTGAGAGAAGCAACTTGAACCAATCTTCTCCAAAACCAACTGGTAACACACCCAAAAGGTAAAAAGTCACAAATTAGCACTTGTTTCATTAATATTAGGCTTCAGCAGAGAAACTCAATCGGTATCAATGAAATAAATGTAAGATACTGGAAAAAAATAAAAGACACTTACCTGCAGCAGTAGTCCTTACAATCTCTTTCATAATAGTTATTCCACCATCACCGCAAAGCTTTTCGAACAGTTCAGGGCTTCCATCACAACAAGCAAAGATAACCATGCACAATGGATCACAAGCTTCCCGGCTCTGAACTCTTGCAAGAGCCAAAAATTCTTTTGGAAAAAGTTGCTGCCAAATTGCATGCTGATGTCGTTCTCCAGCCAAAGAAACATTAGCAAGAACTTGCAACCCCATACGAATGATCCCAGAATCTGGCTCCAAAGAAAGATTTGCAGAGTTCAAAACATTTGATATGATTGCAACTCCACTTTGTTCAATAAATGAATTCTGATTTGAAACATCTCCCGCACAAAGATTTCTTAGGAGCTTTAATGACAATGTGAGAAGGTGGCGACCGGAAGGGTAAGGGAGAGATTGGATGAGCTGGACAACAGAGGGAAGAATACTCTTAGAGGCAAGGTCCGCGCGACCATCAGCTGTTCTGCAAACTTGTATTAAAGTTTCCAACGAATCCATGAGGGTAGATGAGTTTGACGCACTTAAAAGTATCTGGAGAACATCTTCGGGTACAAAGCACTCTTGCAATGCGGTATTATCCATTACGAAACCAATTCACTGATAATGAAACCAAAGAAATCAGAACTTTCAGTACCTAAATTGATGAAAAAATAACGATGTGGCAAAAAAAATCACAAGTGCTCTATTGATCCTGCTCAGATAGAAAACATGATCAAGATGTACACTTACTACAATATAACGGAAGATTTATAATCACAAAATCATCATCTAACAAGTAAATTTATACTCCTCTTGGTTTATAGACATAAAACAGCAAAAACTACAAACTCAACATCCACTAAACCTAGAAACCATCTCCCTTCTATTTCTCAACTCACTCTCAACTCAACCATTATAAACATTATTTAATATCAAATAAAAAATATAACACCATATTGTTTGAATTGAAGGACAACAACTACATAAAATCAGCTCACGTTAAAACAACAAATTCTTAAATCAGCTGAGAAATCCGATTGATAATTGATAATGAAATCCCCAATTGATAATTGATGGCGGGAAAAAAAAAATTACAAAATTTTATACCTGAGAATCTCAATGAAAGCCCCACTCGATAATTGATGGCGGGAAGAAAAAACCCTAAACCCAGTTGAAGTTCTGCTCCGCTATGAAATCCAAATTGTTGCTAAAGGTTCTGTCTTGCTATGAGGGTTTAAAGAACGTTCGAGAAATTTACAATATTTACATTTTTTTATTGATTTTAGTCTACGTGGCCGTGGCTTAGATTTCGTGAAAGGTCAGGGGTAAAACTTATATTTCGATAAGAGCAGGGGGCCAAAACAATAATTATAATTTATATGGTGCCCCTCTCTCCCTCCGACTCTACCTCCCGTTCAGCAATTTTTAATGTTCTCAGAAGCTTCTTTCTCTCTGGTCTTCTAGGTCGCGACCTCTGGCGCACCCATCACTCCAAAACCTTCTTATATTTTCCGTTTTGCCTCCGATCGCACTCTTCCTCTTTCTCAGGTTCGTATTTTTTCTTTTTCCGTTTCTAAATTTTTTCAATTTGTTTTTTTAATATCTGGAACGCTTATGCTTAATCATGATTATTCTTTAATTGCGCTTTTTCTCAGTAATTTTTTGTATTCCTAAAGATGGGTTGTGTTTCATTCTTGTGTTCTATCTGTGTTTATCCTTGTATTGATTTACTTTAATTTTTTTTATTTATTGTTCTGCTTAATGGTTTTCCATTTTTCATTGTTTTCAGTTTGCATCTTTGGTTGATTATTTTCCCCTTTTGGGTTTGCTTTTATGTTTCTCATGATCAATGGTTTCTGAATTCTTGGGGATTTATTGCACTGCTTTGCTCCTCCTATGAAGCTATTTTCGTTAAAAGAAAAAAAAAAAAAAAAAAAAACTGATACTATTTACCACAAACAAATGTGTGAAAGACTTATCTGGGTATTGTGCCCTTAACCAATGGAGAATTGTTCTCAGTTGACTGAATTTGACATGCCCCTGCTTATCACTTCATTGGGTATATGGCCTTAGCTGGAACACAGTTTTAGGGATTGTTCTTTCCAATTCTAGTAACTATGGAAATTTTAAACATCGTCTCCCTGAAAATCCTTTGGTATATATCGTTTCAAATATCTTGGTAGAACAAATAAAAGATAATAGAAATAAAATCTTCCTTCCAAATCTTATAAACCAAAGGAAAGGTGCTATTTCAAAAAAAAATTATGAGATATTTGATTAAATTTGACTTCCACTTTCTCACTCTTACGACATTCTTGTTTTAAACTAACGGGATCCTGCACGCTTTTTTCTTTGCTAGTCCTTTTGAAGAAAGAAAGAAGCACCCAAATCCGTGCACTAAGATCAAGGAAAAGCCATGGCGACATTGGATTCAGACGTGCCTATGGTTCCGGTAGGCGAGGCTTCAAGCAGTGCAGGTTCATCGACCAAGAAGCCCAAGCGATTTGAGATCAAGAAGTGGAATGCTGTTGCTCTCTGGGCCTGGGGTAAACCCTAACTCTGATTCCTTTGGGTTTAAAAGTTAATAAATTTGGTATTCCAACCATGTACTGATGTTGTTTTGGTCTGTTGTATGCAGATATTGTTGTTGATAACTGTGCCATTTGCAGGAACCATATCATGGATCTCTGTGAGTAATTTTTTTTAGTTTTTTAGTTGTTAATTTTTTTCTTGATTATTTGTTTACTTAGAAATTTTGTTGTTGGTGATGAGTAGGCATTGAGTGCCAAGCAAACCAGGCAAGCGCCACTAGCGAGGAGTGTACAGTTGCTTGGGGTATGCTTCAGCTTTCAGTTTATGCATAAACTAATATTTAAGTTTTTGTTCTGCTTGCTAGGCCCTTCATATTGATTCAGGATAGGAACTTGTATAGATCGAAAAGCTTACTTGCATTTGTAAGCTAGACCATTGTGGTTGTTTTTTCTTTCCCAATACGTTCTACGTAATGGGGAAAGGGAAGGATTTGGTGGATTACTACTTTTCACCTGAGGTCATGCTATATGTACACATGGTGATTATCAAATTACACATCTAATTCTCCTTGACATGTTTGGGGCTCAGTTAATGCTTTAAAAGTAGAGAAATAAAAGGACTCCTTGATAAAAAAATGGGGATTATTTTCCTATATAAAAAGTGGAGGTTCTTGAAGTTGTATTAACTAATCATCCTATTTGCTCTAGCGTCACCTTGTTTGAGTTTCTGTTTTTATTAAGCAATTTATGTGCCCTTAAAGCTACATGTACCGTGTTTATGCCACTCATTCACCTTATGGAACTGGTTTTTAGTTTTCATTTTATGCGCCCGTAAAGCTTGTTTGTCGGTTAATGCTTCAAATGGATGTTGGTAATGATAGTTTTCCCCGGTTTTTCCTGCTTGCTTTTAAAATAGTGAATCAGACTTATCATACTTGCATCTATCATTAAGCATGTGGTTTCTTTGTCTCAACTGTTGGTTTTTGTCTCTGTAGGGGTTTGCAACCATGCATTCCATTTCCACTGCATAAGCCGATGGCTCAAGACCCGCCAAGTGTGTCCATTAGGTATGACTTTGCCTTAATCGTCCCCTTCTCAGTCTTATATTAAATTTTCTTTTCCTGGGCTTTTGTTTTTACAGAACTTTTTTTTTTTTTGACCTTTTCTAACTCTTGTTGTCGTTATCTTTTAAACCCAGATAATAGCGAGTGGGAGTTTCAGAAGTATGGTCATTAGAAGCTTCATGTGGTTGGGCGTTGGATCTTCCGCGCACTTTCTGCTATGGCGATGCCGGCCAGGGTCCTTACCTGTTGTGCCTATTTTCATCCTTCTACTTTGTTAATTCAACTGGAGCCCATATATTTTTGTTAAGCATTCGGCTGCTCAGGCGTCTGATTGTGAAGTTCCTACAGTCAAATTTGGAACTACCTTACCCTCTCAAAAAATACCAGCTGAATTCTCCTAATCAACACCAGAACAGACCACCTTGCAAAAACTCAAGCAGAGGCTTGGTGGGATTTTCTTTTGCTAACCCACTTCACAAATTCAAGAACCAGACTTGGTTCACAAAACTTCTCATGGGTCTTCAGTTCTTCTCCATCTCCTAGTGGGCCCTGAGCATAATTCAAGCTTCTCATAATACCATTACTACTTCACCATCAGCTGCAACTCCCACTAGGCACAAGTCTCCGGCAGCTACTCCCACTCCAGATTGGACAGCCCACCTGCGCCTCCGGCTGAGGCCCCTGGAGCAGCGAGCCTCGAGGCTTCAACCCCTGGTCCTTCTGTAGCTGACGATCAGCAAGCACGGCGCCGATTCCACCACTAGATGCAGCCCCTCTTGCTTCACCATTACCAGCACCTTGGTCTCTGCAAAGTTCATGGATGACAACAAGTACTGATGGGAAAAAGAAGATGCAGGGTGGCTTTGCTTAGACTTTGCTTGTGATTTGAAAAATTGGTCAGACCAAACCCACCAAAACGTGATAAGCTCACTGTCTTTTCATCTTTTCTTTTATTGATACTTTACATTATCACTTTCTATATATGCTGACTATACAAACCGTTTGAGTGCTAATGGCAGGTGTGAAAGCAACAAAGTTGAAAACATGCACATATGCACAATGATCACTTCAATATCATTGTCGGCCATGATTCATTTTGATATATGGTTGCTTTATATATTATATTAAAGCATCATCAACTTTTTGGTCTTGATATAACATATTATATACATAATGGCAATATACTATTATATCATATGTATACTATATAATATTATGGATGATTTTCACCTCCTATATTTTTAGTGGTGGTTTTCATCCCCACATTTACTTTATTTACTGTATGGTGTAGGTTCATTACCCATACAATATATTTACTGTATGGTGTAGGTTTATTACCCATACAACAGTATTTATTTAAAAGTGTGGCGCGGGTTTATCGTCCACACAACTGCCTTTACTTTTATTTAAATGTATGGAGCAGAATTAGTGCCCATACCAGCACGTTTACTTTACCGCACATTTACTTTATTATTTAAAGTATGGTGCGGAATTAACGTCCATACAGCAAGCAATTTAATTTATGAATTTACTTTACCGCACATTTACATTTATTTAAAGTATGGTGCGGGTTTATCGTCCATATCAGCAATTTATTTACCAGTAATTTATTTACAAGCTATTTATTTTATGAATTAATTGTGTGATATGATGAGTTTTTACAGAATACAGAGATCATGACCAGAAGTTCCTTGATCCTCATCATCCAACTACATCAGGACTTGAAAGATCCTTGATGATGATAATGATATGAGAGATGGCAGTCTCTCCGGTACTGTATTTGTAAATAAGAGATCGGATCTGAAGATCCTTGATCCTTGACATGTAAATA